GGGCCAGCGCAATTAAGGGCAATTAGCACGATAAATCCCCCAAGGCGAGTAGGATTAATACGCCTGGCAGGACCCTGAGCAGGCGCTGCATAGCGCCTTTCCCGAGAAAGGTGCGCTTATAAGGGCCCTATAAAGCTACAACATGCCGACCCGAACGCTCGCCGCGCCCACACAAATATGGACTATCGTTCTGATGCTGCGTACCTGCTTCTCATTTGCTAAGCAAATTATGAAGCGAAGGGGTTGGTATGAAGCGGCCGTGATGCTGCATGCATACATGGGTTCACATATGGCAGCCGTATCTTCGTAGCGGTTATTTAGCAAGATGCGTACGGGAAACTCGTCCAAAATCAATTTTTAAGTAACTGAGAACAGAGGCCCTTTCTTCGTAGGATTTTGACCGTTTCACTCCGTTCTTTCGCCATTTCCCCACTATATAGCGCCCTAACTAAGCAGAGCCGACACAAATCATGCGTGCCAAATGCCTTTAATTTATCGCTCTACTGAAGTGACTCCTCGCTTCGAACCCCATCAAAAGGTTGCATCTCTTGGGTCGACGGGCTATCCGAGAGCGGCACTGTATAAATGGATTGAAAAAGAAACGAGTGGTTTATAGATAATTGATCTCTTATCAAGCCGTTTGGACTAAGTACATCAGCACCAAAATTAACTGGCATTAGGCCTTGTTAATTGAGTGCCGGATCAGAATAGAGAGTGCATAGAAATAGTGATGTCCATCTGCCGATATTTAGAAGTTTTTGCAATTGTTGTTTTTTCGATCAACGATACGATCTGGCGAAGGGTCGAGGACATCATGTACATCTAGATATCTTGCCAACGATCCCATCATTGCCCTTCATGTAGCGAGCACCATTCTCTTTTGCCGGTATCGACAATTCCAGGCTGTGTTTCTAAGAGTTCGCACATTTGTTCAATGCAGACGTTTATCGGCAGAAAAATGCTCATGTTCTCGTTCTTAAAAATGCACGGAATCTGAATTTCTCTATTAGGTTGTTGCATAAGTTCTTATACACGACTTTTTTGTAAATATCTCAAAATCACGAACCAGTCTGGGATTAGAAGGGAGGTATGGCACCATTGCACATTCCAGCTACTCCGACGCCAGCGCTCAGGCAGCTTGTCGATTCCATCCTTCCAGAACGACGGAGGCTGGGACTTGAAGAAGTCGTCGAGCGCCTTTCTGACCTGATCCTTTGTTTCGAACTTTTTTCCGTCCAGATAGCGCTGCAGGTGGCTGAACAGCCAGTAGTCAGAAGGAGCGAGGTCAGGGCTGTAGGGAGGGTGGGCGACCATCAGCCATCCGTACTTCTCCAGCTCGGCCTGGGTCGCCTTTGCAGTGTGAGGTCGGGCGTTGTCATGGTGGAAGTAGATTTCCGCATTCCTTCCACGAGTACGGTCGACGTGATCTTTCAATTTCCGCAGCTGGGTCACGTATGTGGAAGCGTCAAACGCGCCCTGTCCGCTTCTCCAGCACCTCGCCAGCTACTCCATGCCTGCTATCTGGATCCATGACAACAGGACAGGAGAACCTTTTTGGGGTGAAGGTCGGCCTTTGGGGTGGCTTCTGGCTGTTCTCCTTTGTCGACCCACTGCCGCTTCCTCAGGGTTATCGTAGAGGACCCACTTCTCATCTCCAGTGATCATCGAGTTGAGAAAGTGAAGCCTCTTTTCCGGAGAAGTGACCACTTCTGTACCTTTCAGAAGCGTGGCAATGACAGCTACAAGTCACTGAAAGGGCGAGCAAGTTATCAAGACGTATCAAATGTACAAGAATCAGAGATACTCTTTCTCCTATTGAACCTAATGGCCTTGGACATGATCCAGAAGGCTTCTAAGGTTCTCCACGTAGCAATATCGGACTCACGTGACAAGATCGTGATCATACCTTCCGTAACATGCGTCATCATGACACCATACCCTATGTACCCGGTGTAGCGACTTTGGGCTTTTTCATGCCACCCATGTGTTCTTTCACCCGGGTACGAAGAGGGCTACTCGTCTCCCCGATATACTCCTCTTTAAACAGAAGCATGTTATTGAGTACACGAACACTACGAACGATGCCATGCAGCCCTTTGCTTTCAAACGGGCAATTGACGCACGCAGGAGTTGTACAAAGGACCGTCATGAAGACGATTACGAACTAATTGTCCTTTTAGGTTTGTAGGTGGAATATCTACAATCCTAACCACATCTTGAAGACCAGCCTTCTTCACAAGAACGTATGGCCGGACTTAGATGTCTGATATAATCGGAACACAGAATGAGACTTTCGCTCTTACTTTTCGTAACAATTGAGGGCGCCCCCCCCCCTTGCTCTGCCTCTGATAAGGACTTTGACATTGCGTAGCCACTCTCCTGTGCTATGCGAACCGCCCGTTCCACCTATACTTACTTCCCGATGAAACTCCTGAAGCTGTGTGTAACATATTATTGATAATGGCTACTTTGCTGGAGGGGTGAGCCGAAGTGCAGTGGCTTAGATGTTTTTACAAGGGGGTGTGCAGTAGCACTTACCAGGAAAGGTCAACAGGTCAGCCTGGCCATTTGCAATGAGATGCACATCATTGTACTCGTCTTGAGACGGTGAACTCAAAACTATCTTCAAAATTTGCGGAACGATTCTCTGAGCGGAGTTATGGAGGTTTTTCTTCTTTTGGGCGCGCTGGCGCCGAAGCGTTGGCACCTGTAGCGCGACTCACAGCGCTCTTCGCGCAAAATAGGTATCATATTCGTGTTCAGGGGGTCAAATAACCCCTAGGGACGTCACCTTAGCGAAATCTGAGGTTCTGACTCAGCTTCGAAAAAATTGGGGTAAGGTTAGTCATGGCTGACTCAACGATACTGCGACTAGCATACTGATGATGACTGGTCTGCGAGCTGAAATAACTCTTCAGTC